CAGAAATGTAATGTGAGCACCTCTTCCTATGATGCGTGTCTACTGAGGCTCCACGTCTCTTCAGTACATCCTGCTACAGAGCCAAGATTTCTAGCTACAAGATCAAAAAGCCATACGGTTAAAGAGCATGAGAAAATTTTGGTCTCAAAACTTTAAGATCAAACTTGGAACAGCTGTTTGTCCCGGGAACATCTGATTGCTTGGGCTTAGGACCTTGTTAATTATGAAGCTATGAACATACTTGCTTTTTCGAATTGTTCATTAAGCGGCATAGAACAAAACTTGGTTCTATCACACAACCTCTGAGGATTTTATAATGCAATATTGTACACTAACCTCCCTCCTTATTTTCCTCACTTTTGTTTCCTATGTCTCGTTTTTCCCCAACTATTTTTCATTCTGATGTGTTGTATATTGGGCTTTATCCTTAACACGCTTCTGGAAGAAGGCAGGGTATAAACAGTCACCAGTTCATACAGATGAAAAGAGTACACAGATAATCCAGTTCTATCTTCCATGTTTTCCAGATGAGAAGCCTGGGGCCCCAAAATCCCAATGGCTATTGGTTTAAAGACCGCTGGATTTATGGATCCTGAACATAGCTCATGCTTTTTTTTCAAAATGTGGTTGCTGACTGTAACATTAGATTCTATTTCTCTTTTCCTTAAGATAGCACTGCGCAAGGAATGCTGACAGACATTTCTCCCCACCTGGGAGATACAAAATTAAGGTGATTCTGTATTCTCTGTCTTGCAATGGAGAGTCACAAGAACATTCTGCAAAATCCCGTGATACGCGAATTGATTTAATTATGTCTCTCCTATGTCTTGTTAATGCATCTGATCACAAATAAACCTTTTTTCTTTTCACATTCGACATCACAGTGTGGGGGCTGCACGCATTTACATCCTTTGGAGCACACCTTGGGAGATGTGGGCTAAGACATGGTCCTCAGGAGACAGGTGGGAGGGAGGAGTGGTCAGATGCCCACCTCTTGACATATCAGCCTGAACAGTGGCTGCTCTCGACGGTGTGAGTCATGCTGCCCTTCCTGGCTCAGGGCTACCGCATGGCAAAAGGCACAAAGCTCACTAGTGAAAATGGTGCTGAGGAAGGGGCAGAGCACTTGTCGCAGCCTTTCTCCCAGCGCAGGCATGCTGTGGTGCTGTCCACTCTTAGGGCCATAAGTGAGGTGCCTGTAATTCTGCTCCCCAGCATGCACTTTGACTTCTATTAGAAGCAAGGGGACTACAAATTGTTTCACTGAAGTGAACACTGTTAGACAAAGGATGGATGGATGTTCCCAAGCATGATGAAGTAACATGCTGTGTATGTCTCTGTTGGGTGTATATGTGCTTATAGATCCCAAAGGGATGTGACAGCTAGGCGCACTAGTGTGGTCCAGGAGGCCTTTGTGGTGGGGTGCACGGGGCCTAATAACCAGCTTCTGGAGCCATCCCTGGTGCCGGCGCTAACTCTACCCCTTAGCAGGCAAGTTCTCACCCTCTCTGACCTTTGGGTTCCTCTTCAGCTAAATGGGAATACTTGATAGTATAAAATAGGAATGCATAGTAGCAAAGTCAGGTGGACTAACATTTAATATTGCCAAGTGTTTAGATCAGTGCTTGCCTCACAGTAAGTACAATGTAAATTAGTTCCATTCAGGGTTTACTCTAACTTCTCTTAATACACATGTCCTTTCATAGTACACAATGATGACATAACAATGACCACAATGGCCACAAGACGCTCATCCTCCTGCCTTTAAGGCAGCCCCAGCTAACCAGTTGTGAGGATCCTCACCAGGTCGGTGCACACACTGACTTAGCTGCCCGCAAGCCCCTACCTTTCCTGGTGAGCTGTGCTCATAGGCCGTAAAGAGCCAGGTCATTACCAGCCCACGCTAATGAGCAGGCCTCCAGCACAGCGGCTGCTAGGGATGCCAGCGGAACAGGAGTAAGCAGGCAGGGCGGGAGCTGTGGCTGACAGAACCCAGATAGGCCAGCACTTCCCCTGCAGACAGAGCTGCCTCCCAGGGCCACCAGTCCTGCTGTCACAGGCAGCACTGCCACAAAGCCCTGGCGAGGGCAGGGAGAGGCTGGCCCAGCCCTCTACAATACCTCCCACAGTGCTAAATCCTGCCTTCCCATTAGTGATCCTTAACTCAGTTATTAAAGACAATCAAACAGAAATTAGACTTTAAACAGATGAAATAAAATGTATTAACCAGAAGCAAAAAGGGAAGGGAAAAACTTTGGTTGATGACTTGGTTATTTTTTCTTGGTTTCTTTGTTACTTACTTGAAAACATTGTCACATAAATACATTTCTCTGTCTCTCTTTCTCTCTATCTATCTAATTTTATTTTACTATCATTTTTTACAGTTCTAGGGATGGAACCCAGAGCCTCACAAATGTGAGGCAGGTGCTTTACCACTGAGTTACATATATGCATATATACTTGAGACAGGGTCTTGCCTTCAGCTTAGACTGGCCTTGAACTCACTATGTAGCTAAGGCTAACCTCAAACTCAAGTCCTTCTGCCTTTCTCCCCCAGTGCTGGGATTATAACATGTACCACCATGCACAGCTTTCTATGTATTTTTAAAAAAGATACACAAATGTATCTTCAAAAAGATTGTCAAACAAATGCATTTTAAATAACTGAGGAATTTGTAAACTATAAAATAATTAATATATATTAATCATGTCACTAGTGCTGGAGTAAAAGCTGGGCTTTTACTAATTATTACATAGATTATATAAAAAGCCCAGAAGGGTTTGCAACGAGTAATGACCCACTATATACTGAAACTATCACACTGAAATTTTAGAAATCTCATGATTTATATTATATAGTGCTTGTGAAAATATCCAGAGTCATCCTTTTACACACAAGCCAAGACTGGGGAGTAGGGAAAACTCTCTTCAAGCTTAAGGATAAGGGGTGCCTTAAATTTAGATCTGGCAATGACCCATGCACACCTGCAATTGGGGCTGCACTGGAGTAGGTTCTCCTAGTTGCTAGCTTACGTGCCTGTGTGTGAACAAAGTAGACTGAAGCCTTGAAACACCTTTTGCTGTAATAACACACACACACACACACACACACACACACACGAGTCCTCAGGCACCTGGGGACTGCTATATTGTGAGGTCCCTGTGCTTAGGGAGAGGTGGGAACACATGACCTTCAGCAACAGAACCAATGGGCCTCAGTCATGTTTATATTTCACCCATGCACTTTCCAATCCAATTTGCAAATTGCTTTAAGTCTTCCCTTTTACAGTTGTTGCCTTTGGAGTCTGAGTGTTGTGGGGGTGGCGCCCTCTCACACTGACCCTAGCAATGTACCTCTTGCCCTAATGCACGTATTAAATGTGCTTTTTCTCTTACTTTAGGCAGCACACACTTGCTTCGGTGACTCACCAGATAATGGCATAGGTTTACACTGATATGAATGCTAATGTACAAGGAGCAATATCAAGCAGGTCTGGTATGTCCATAAAGTATCTCTGAACTCCCCTAATTTTAATTCTTGCTATTACAGCATTTAGATAGGCAAACTGCTGTCTGAGAGACCTTTTACCCTGTGTAATACATGCATAATGCAACATGAAGAAAGGAATCATTGAAAAGAAAACTATTTCCTCAAATTATGACTTGTATTGCAATAATGAGAAGCTATTAAAATATATGTTAAAGCCGATCTATTCCTCAGGATTTTGAGATTTCCCTACTGCTCTACTATTTTCCCATTCTGTATGCACAGCACAGATTCTTGGCAAGCCCATTACAGTGAGCAAACAATGCCCTCTCTGTCAGAACAGAGAATGAATAGTATCACAAAACTCTCCTCTAATGTACAGCCTACATTCCCCCACCACAGTTCTTCAGAAAAGAAAACCAGGCTGAGGGCCGAGCAGGAAAACCCTATTCTCCCCTTGTCAATCTGAAATTGCCTTCCAGGACACTAGAACAGAGTAACGTCACCCACATATTCACTTCTAAACAGAAAAACTTGACAAGTATATTATTTTAAATTGGATTGTACATTTTTGCATTTCTGTGCACACAGGTACACAAATATCTTTATGAGGAAGAAGCAGCATTTTGCCAGATAAAATTGTGGGGCTTGGCAAAAATAGCTTTCACTACAAATGGAACAGCAACAGGGGAACTTCACAGAAATGACACAGCAGTTTGTGTTAAAATTTAGCAACTAATTCATGAATGCTGCAGCTATGGATCCAGCAGCTTCTGTTAAGCCTTGATTCCCATTAAGCTCATGATTCATAAAGAAAGTGCCTAGAGCTACTCGTCTGAAACACACAGAAGATGCTAGTACATTCCTTTTTGGTCTCAGTGTCTGTCTCTTTCTCTCTCTTACACACACATAGTTCCCCTCCTCACAAGGGCCATTAAGGATGTGACCTCCCAAATTAAGAACTTCAAGAAGCATTTCTCATGAACCAATGAACCAATGAAAAGTTTATTTAGTAGGCATTTTCAGAGATGTACATGAATTTCCTTAAAATCTCCCTTAACCATAAGTCTTGGCGTAAAATATGATTAAGGTTTCCCCCCTTGTGACATGCCTATGGCATATATTCTATTTACCTTTTAAAGAGAATTACCCAACCTTTTCCCTCAAAAAGGGAGAAGTGTTAATTTTATAATCAAACCATGCCAGTTTTTGTTTTCATGAAAATCTGTAACACCAAGAAGAAAGTCCAGCTTCCCCTTCCCTCTCTTTTTTCCCACACATTTGCAGTCCAGCTCAACAAGCTCCCAGAGTCTGATGGCATTCTCCCTGTGACACATTTAGCAGAGGCTGCAGGAAGCCCCAACAGCTCTGCATTCTTCTCTCTCTCTTTCCCCCCCTTCTCTCACATCACCCTAGATCTGCATTAGACTAAACAATTACAGCTTTGTGCTGTACCCTGCCATCTGAAAATCCTAATGACGTACTCCCTCATTGGTACAGTGGTAATATTTACCTTGGAGAAATGTTTGTTCAAAAAAGTATTCCAACTTCTGGCAATGTATTCCTTTCAAATGTTATGGTGAAAGTCTCTCTTCTTGGCCTATAACCAGAAAGAAAGAAAGTTAGAAAAAAAGGCAGATGATATAGACTGTGAAAGACTTGCCCAGTACACTAGAAAAATGGGCACATTTATGCTAAACATTGAGCTTTATATTCCTTTTGAAACACAGCAGATTGCAAAGTTTTAGCTTCTGAACAGGCACAACTACAAGTACAAACAGGGTGAATAAGTACAAGATTTTCTTTAAAATAACAGCCAAGTCAGTGCTTGATTAAATACAAATCAATTGACTTGCTTTTTTCATTTTTTCCCCTAGCTTATGACAAATCAATTTCTGTGTTACTTAGTAATATTAAAACTCAAGTAAGTGTTATTTGAATTTGAGATAAAACACATGATTTATTTTTTAAAAAGCATTTACGCTTTTTGGCAATGTAAGCTGTGATTCAATTGAGAAAATTTATTAAAAGGAGACTCTGGTGCAGTGTGAACAGCACGACCTGAATGAGATGTAGATCTAATCATTTGTTTTTCCTATGTGGAAATGGGGAAGATGTACAGAAATGGAGGACTTCTCCCAATCTACCCCAACTCATCAGCTCCCAATACTGTCTGTGGTTCTGTTCCATTTTTCCCGGCCCTTCTCATAACCCCCTTTCTTCTCTGCTTCTCTGCCATCCTTCAATGAGTATCATTGAACACTTAAGACACAATCATGGGTACAGAGGGAGGAGAGGAAAGGGAGTGAATGAGTGAATGTGTTTACACTCTAAGATTCAGAACCTCTCGATTATGTTAGCAGACTGAGGCAGTTCCTGGTTTTCACTATAAAAACCTGAGGAGAGCATGAGCCTTCTAGATTTGCATCTACTGATGTGGTTTTGGATGTGTTATCATCTCTGAGTGTCACTTTCTTCTGTGGGAGAACCAGCAGATTATTTATGTTATCTTAAGGCACATCTTTGTTTCCCTGCCTGTTATCAAGTGAAAAAGGCTGCCTTTTGTTTGCCATTACATTCAGTTACATTATTATTTTCCTATTTTTAAAATAAATCTGAAAAGATCAGAATGAGACACACAATCATGGGCTGTCTACCTCCAGCCTGACTCCAGGTCTTTGCACTGTCAATCACGCCAAGTGGGAGGACAGGGCTTCACTGGTTAAAGTGCTTGACAGATAAGCGAGTTCCTGAGCCATTGTTCTACTCTTTCATTAGATTTCAAATCAATCCTCCTAAACTCCTGCTTCCAGATATATTTAGATGTGGATTCAGACTGCAAACCTCGCCATTTTTCCATGTCAATGTGGTCAAGGCAGAGAACTGTCTTAAAATAGTTATAAATAAAAGCAAAGTTTGATTATCCAAATCAAATTGATGCAGCAAAAAATAAACATTTTTCTTAAGATGCCAAATGGTATTAATATGTATTAGAATAATATTTCAGTATGCTCTCTCTATTATTACACGAGTAAAAACACGATTAAAAATTGAACACAACTTGACAGTTAACTTAAAACATAAAAGTGGTACATAATGATGCATTTTCAAAATAGACATTTTGTGAATTAAAAATATTCCAAGGAAACAAAGTAACCAAGTATCATAGAGACAGACATACAGATTAGTGGAATATAATTTAGCAGCATAGAAATAAACCTATTTATTTATATTACTTCAATTATATTGTCAATTTGTATTTTTGACAAAGAAGCCAAGACTATCTAAAGAGAAAACAAGAGTTACTTCAACAAACAATGCTGGGAAAACTGGATAGTTATATGCAAAAGAATGAAACTGGACCCTTAACTCAGACCATATTAACTTGTAAGATGTGGCAGCACATGTAATCCCAGCACTCAGGAGGTGGAGGCAGGAAAATTGTAAATTCCAGGCCAGCTAGTAAGACTCTGTCTTAAAAAAAAAAAAAAAAGAGTTAACTTAAAATGGCTCAAATACCTAAATGTGAGAGGTGAAAAAGTACAAAACTCTTGTGGGGCACCAGTAGCTCATGCCTATAATCCTACCTACTCAGGTGGCAGAGATCAAGAGGACTGCAGTTCAAAGCCAATCCAGGCAAATAGTCGTGAGACCCTATCTTGAAAACACAAAACACAAAAAATGACTGGTGGAATAGCTCCAAGTGGTAGAGCATCTGCCTAGCAAGTATAAGGACCTGAGTTCAAACCCCAGTACTACTAAAAAACAAATAATACAAAACTCCTAAAAGAAACGGTAAATCTCCATGAGTTTAAATTTGGCAGTGAAGCTTTAGATATGATATGAGCAAATGAAACAAAAAATAGATAAACTGGACTGCATCCAAATAAAAACAGTGTGCTTTAGAACACTATCTAGAGTGAAAGAGACAACCCAAAGACTAAGAAAAAATATGTGCAAATCACCAGATAAGGGACTTGGGAGTAGAATATATAAAAACCTCTTAGAACTCAATAAAAAATAACCCAACCAAAAATGAATAGAGGATCTGAATAGAAAATTCTGCAGAAGTATCACGTGTCACTAAGCACATGAAAAGCTCAAAATCATCATCAAAGTGCAAATCAGAACCACGCAGAGATACCATCCATACACACTAGCACAGCCATAATAACACACCAAAGATAGCAAAAGTGTTGGGGAAGATAGGAAGAAACTAGAACTTCCATGCTCTGTCTGCCACTAGGAATGTAAAATAATGCATCCATTTTGAAAATAGTGTAGAAGTTCTTCAAAAGCATTGAACACAGAGCTACCATTTGACCTAACAATTCCACTTCTAGGCACATATCAAGAGAAATGAAAACATGTGAACATAAAAATTTGTACATAGACGTTCACAGCCACATCGCTTATAATGCCCAAAAGTAGAAACAACCCAAACAACGTCAACTGATGAAGAAACAAAATGTGGTATACACTTTCAAGCACAAAGAGGAATGAAGTACTGACACACGGATATACTCTGAACTCATGGTAAGTGAAAGAAGTCAGTGACCAAAACCCACACATGTTATATGATCTCATTTATAAGAAAGAGAGCTATTAGTCATTGCTTAGGGCTGGTGGGGGGGGAGGGGGTAGAGAGATTATAGCTAAGAGGTGATAAAAATGTTCTACAGTTGATACAAATACCAACTAAATTTGCATACTTCAAATGGATGAATTATACAGTATGTGAATTGTATCTTGATAAATCTCTTATCAAAAAGAAAAAATATTCCAAGTCCATGTGGACTGTATAACATGAGTCCGTTTCCAGATTGTTCTTAAAGAAATGTGGCAAACCTACATATGATTCTAGCTGGGTCACTGGAGTTGCTGGGCTGAAGCAGATTGCCTGGCTCCCCTGCAAATGATCAGTTCTGACTGAGACAATCTGAACCTCACTCTCCATGGATCTAGTGCTCCTTCAGGTTCCTTTTCATCTGCGTGACTATTTCTCTAGTAGCTAATAGCTGTAGTGATTATTAGCCTACAATTTTAATTTAATTTCTCCTTCTAGTAAATGGAATTGCAGGGTTTCAGAAACCAGTTATCTACTCAAATATGACTGTACCTGCATATACTGGCAGTGGAAAGTTAAGCTCAGCACTGCTTCTTCAACACTGTCCACATTGACAGTTTTCATGAGGCCTGTTAGCCCCTTATTAACACCGATGGTGACTATCATTAGAAGACCCAAACAAGTGGACTCTGGGAGTTCATGATGTGCTTACTGAACCAACCTGAAGGCTTGTTCTGACTAAAGCCACTCAGAGCAACTGAAATACAGTCTAATTTCTGGGACACTGGGATCAGGAGGGATGAGATATGCACCTGGCAGATGGCCTTGTCTGAGCCCAAGCTGGCAGTATATCCTTATTCCTAGTTCACATTGCCAGTGCTTCCCAGATAGCGAGGATTCCATGGGATAGAGGAAGCCCTTCATCATGGAAGGGAACCTGGCTTAAGCTGGTCTGTGGTTTGTTTATTGGTTTCTTTCCATTGCAACATAAAGGATGTAGCTATTTGTATGATTTGCATGCTGGAAGCATTGCTATGGTAGTATGAATGACCCATAATCCTATTCCCTTCTTTGTCTTCAGGGACTTTGAGTAACATTGGCTTTATTACAGCAATAACCTCAAGTCTACTCTGATCTTTAAAAAATAATTCACTTCATTGGCAAATAAATATTGAGTGATTACCATATTTACAGGGCACTGTGATTCACTCAGCTCATGGTACTTGGATATACAGGAATGGAACCAGCTGAAACTTGGAAAGATGGTGTGTAAGTATCATGGAAAACTGGGAGTCTTTCCTGAGATATGAGGTTCTGCATCAAGATGTCAGTAAGGTCCTTTTGGGATGCCATGGTGGTCATCCCACTGCTAGACCTAGGCAACACTATCTTGGCATGGGAGATTACAATTCAATAAACAAATTCCGCCAGTATTGAGCAAGAATTCACTGTGGGCAAGGCATAGAGAGAGTGTGATTAATGATTGTGGGATACACTTAAAAATCCTAAGTATTTCCTGCTTTAGTCAGAACCAATTCAGATTTGGGGAGATGCATGCAACTGGAGCAAATGGTCAGGAAGAGGGAAGGCAGGAAGACACTAACTGGGTTTGATACTTTCATTTTCTGGTTTCTTCTACATGAGAAAGCTAAAAGGCAATTCTCCCAATGAAGTAGTGCTTCATGGTGAAGAATGGAGCAGAACCCTGATTTCTATTGGTCTACACACCATACTTTGTTCAGAAAGCTGAAGACCACAAGAGCTCCTTCCTTCCTTCTTTCCTTCTTTCTTTTCTTTCTCTCTGTTTCTCTCTCTCTTATTTTCCTTCCTTCCCAAAACCCAGCTACATTATACTGTGACATATATGATCTTATACTTGATCATATATATGATGTTGCTAGGCTACATTTTTCTTCACTATCCTCTTGCAGTTTAACTGGGGAGAAGCTGCTTCTGTGATCCCTGTGGCAGGTCTGCTTCTTAACTTAAATGTCAGCACATTCCCACATTCTGCTTCCCTGCTTTGTTACCTT